AGCTACCACGCCGACCATTGACAAAGGTAGATTTATTGAAATATGTTGAAAAACTACAAATACCACATTTCCGAGGAGTGTTCATGTTGGATGAATTGCCCAATAAAATCATAAGATACGAGAGCGGTATTGCCAATCTTGACAGAAAAATGGTGAAAGGTCACATTGTGTGTGTTATATCAAATCAAGACAAAATATCTAGTACTTTGATAGTTATGGCAACTTGAGACCTCCTCTCGAACTCACCGAATATTTCGATGGTAGCTCTAATAAAGTACAATATAATTATGATGATTTCCAGTTGGACAACCCTTATAATTGCGGCCAACTCTGCCTCAAATTCTTATAAAGGGTGTTTCAGACTCAAATGTACATACGATACTTGCAGATAGAGGACACTTTGAAGGTTTCAAATCACCCCCCATTGATGTATCTACCGCCTTTTATAACTGAGATACAGGACGTTTTCTTGATTTTGGGTTTCAAATCACCCCCCATTGATGTATCTACCGCCTTTTATAACTGAGATACAGGACGTTTTCTTGATTTTTGAAAAAACTTCATCTGGTCATCATTTTTGAACGACTCCATACTTGGTGAAAATATTCCACTTATATTGCTCATCAAAACTAAATAGATATCGAGATCAGAATCCAGGTTCGTTTTGAGGAAAATCAGAAAACATGCTGTATTTCAAGAACAACACTCTGTATTGCAAAATTTTGTGGATCTGTTTTGATATTTGGGAAGAGCGGGAAAAAACGAATAAAATGAACAACTTTGGTCGAGCGTGCATCCCATTTGACCGATGGTTTATTATTATGTTTTGAAATATTTTGCTTCATTTCGAGGCAATTTTATTGAACTCGTGATTCAAAATCCAATTTTGGAATGTAACAACCCAATATACAAGCACTAACAATTATCTTAACGTTACCAATAATATCACACTAGTAATTATGAACTGTCAGAATATCAGAATTTTTTGCACAGCTCACTTTACCTCATGAATTAATAGTGAAGACAAAAATAAGCCCTCAAATATTTCTAAAACCACGGACAAGTTATTGTGTCAAACGAACAAATCTATCGATAGTTAACCTAATTCGACTCTAATGATGCTGATCTTTGAAGACTTTTTTTGTTTTGTAAAATAATTGGATTTTGAATTCGAGTTCAATGAAAATCCCTCAAAATGGAGCTGAGTACTTCGGAAAATAACAATAAAACATCTGTCAAATCGAATGCGCGCTCGTAAAAATTAGATCACCTTGTTCGTTTTTCCTGCTCTCTTCAAATATCGGAACAGATCCACAAAATTTTGCCATACAGAGTGTTGTTTTTTAAATAAAAGATATTTTATGTTTTTCCCCAAGACAAACCTGAATTATGATCCCCATTTTCATTTAGTTCTGATCGGTTATATAAGTGAAATCTTTCTACCCAGTATGGATAGATTATACAAAGTGGTTCAAAAGTTATGACCAGATGAAGATTTTGATAAAATCAAGATAACATCCTGTATCTCAGTTATAAAAGAGGGTAGACACATCCATGGAGGGTGATTTGGAACCATCAAAGTGTCCTCTATCTGCAGGTGTCGTATGTACATTTAAATCTGGAACACCCTGTATAATATATACCACACTTGAAAATCATGTAGTACATCAAAGGTAATGTCGCTAGCCTTTTCATTATCTGGTTCATCCTCTGTGCGCAGTTCGGATTTCAATCCAGCTGGAGGAAAATACTGAATATGGAATAGGACTCACTAATTTCGAAACATCCAATGTCATTCTCAATGTTGACGAACAAAATAACCAATTCGTTTTCGGTGACAATGCTAATTCCATCACGATTCCAGTGGCATCATATGAAATCAATGACATCCAGGACATTATATCTTCGAGAGTGAAAGATATCGACAGAGATGCAAGAATCTATATCATTCCTAATTTCAACACTCTGTCAGTGACCAGTAATCGTATCTTGAAAGCAGTTCAAATTCACACATCTGATACTACAGTGAACATTTTGAGTGTCAATGCTATCAATACATATTGTAAAATAGCAACACAAAGTTTTCATAACGGCCAAGAAAACCATTCGATTCACACTCAGTCCAGTAGTCCCTCCAGGATACAAGATTACCGTAACTGTAGATCCAATTATCTATTTCAAGATAAGTGTAAGGACTATAGACAATATCACCATAAAAATATTGGATCAAGCTGGAAGACTCGTTAATTTTCGAGGTGAAACCATAACTGTCAGACTTCACTTGAAAAAACTCGAATAATTATGGTTATGAAGTTCAATAGGATGGTCGACCTCATTTGGTATAAGGGAGCAAAGATTTCAGGAAAACCCACCAGTAATATCAACCAAAAGCCGTTAGTTCAACTAATCAATTCAAAAAAAGGATTATCAGACATACCAACCATTACTACGAAAATTCGACTGCAACGAAATCAGAATATCAATTCAGGAGCTTGATACATATACTTCGCCATGTGAAAAGTACCTATACATTGAAGGTCGTTTGATGCAATCGAATGGAACGGCTATCGACAAACTCAAATTCATCAATAATGCAATGAACTTTCTATTTAGATTTAGATATAACAATTGGTTTAGTTAAAAATATTGGCCTCGTATCAACAATAAAGGGGTACTTATCATACAATGCGAATAAAAGTATCAACTTGAAAAACGCAGGTTTCTAGAGGAAATTTTAGCGTATGTATCACACTCCTTCATTTGAAACAGGAATTGGTGTTGAATCGAAGCAATGATGACATTGACGCGACATACAGTTCTTACATGAAGGAAATTCCAAAAGTAGACATCGACATGATATTCTGGAGAGTGCCTCACGTTTTATTAGATATTCCACAAGAATTGTTGTTCACTAAAATGGTAGAGAAAAATCAAGAAATATTTCTAACATTCCGAAGTTGGGAGCTCATAAAATACCCCAAATTGCCTACATCTACAGAAACGGCATGGCCTGTCAAAACGACAAGATCAGTTGGAAACACCACATCACATCATCGTTGTTTTCCAAACAGACAAGAAAAATAATATAAAATCAGATTCGAGTAACTTCGATGATTTTGACTTGACAAATATTCGAGTTTTCTTCAACAGTGACAGATATCCATATAATAATCTATATCTGAATTTCACTGCTAATAAAACTTCCCAATTATATTCCATGTTCGCAAATATCAGACCATCGTATTATGGATCTAATAACGAATCTATATTGTGACCGAAGGAGTTTGTAGAGCACATCCCTATGCCATACATAGACTGTTCCCATCAGAAAGAATCCTCGCAGAGTGGATCAGTTCTGATGATAATATAGTTTGAAACAGCCAGAGCGATTCCAGACAACACTTCAGCATTATGTTTAATTTTACGTGACAAAATGTTCAGCTACAGTTCTTTGACAAAAATTGTTAAGCAATTGTAAAATACAATCTTCATCCTCCATTCCTATTTTATTTTAAAGATAACATTCAGATAGTTAATACTTTGAAATGTCCTACTAAAATAAATTAATATTACTTTTTGTTCAATTCACTGATCCCTCCCTCAGGTTATATCCAAAATGTACAGTACCCTAAGTACTGTGTTCAATATAGTGGGTCTCCGTGACCAGCAGTATAGCGCGCGTTTTGAGATCTGCAAGGATCAGGAGATTTCTACCCTGCTGATTAACCCGTATATGACGACACTGAGTAGTGCTAGCATTGAATCTCCTGCTGATTCTCCACTTCGTACTTTGCAAGGATCACCTGGAGATTTTTGAGATCACAGAATCGGCGGTTCCACGACCTTGATCCCCAGCGATACTAGAAAAGAAACCCAACCAGAATCGTATGACGATTCTACGATCAAGACCAGAACCTATAGAGCGATTCTAGGATCAAAGAAACCATAGGGCTGTTCTAAGATCAAGGTTTCGATGTTAGAATATACCTTACCTATCTACTCCTTGGTAAGCTGCTCTAAGCCGTGACTGATAGCGAAAGTTTCGGCTTGCCGCCAATCTTCATCCGTTTTGTTGGAGTGTACGAGCCAAGCAGTGTTGTCTACATTGAATGAATGATGATGATTTCTGCTGCTGGATGATTCTGTTGTGCTGGATTAGGTCAAGCTTCAGAGACAAGAACTCGAACATGACAAACAGATAAATCAAAAAAGTTCAATCACAAAAGTAATTATTCCATAATTTGAGGCTGATGTAAGGCTCCAACCCTAGCCTATTGCCGATTTTTCGCACATTGTTTTAAATCATGAGTTTTGCTAGCTTAAGCTAACAGAACCCATGATTTTTCAAAACAACAACATATCAAAAAATCGACAAAAGACTTGGATTAATTCGCCTCAAATTATGGTATAATTAGTTTTGTGTTTGATCTCTTTTTGATTTCCTATTGGTTTTTCATGTTCATGTTGGATTTGTGGCAATTTCTGCAAAAAATTATTAACAAAATAATCGATGTTGAGCTATTGAAACCCATGATAAAAAAATAATATGCAAAAAATTGGCAATTGGCTAGGATTCGAGCCTTAAATTAGCGTTAAATTATGGTACCTATAATTAGTTCTGTGATTGAACTTTCATTTACGAAGTGGTTCTGCCTACATTAAGCTAGTAGACCATGATTTTTTTGCATAACTCAAAGACCAATGAATTCGGCAATCGGGTAATAAATTTGCCTTAAATTATGGCCGAAAAAAAAAATTGGAAAATCTAATGTGGTTCTGCTAGCTTAATAGAGGTAATCATTATCCGAAAATAAATGCTTGTAGCATCTAAACAGATGGCTTTTGCGAAAGGGTTTCCAGGCCACTACGAAAAACATCGACTAGAATATGGTTATCATAACATTAATAATTATATTGAAAATTGATTGAAATTGGTACATTGTTCTATCACGTGGTATGGTTGGTCTAGCTTTATTAATGTCCTCTTCCTCATAATCTAGAGAGGAAGCAAGAATTGGAAAAACGTCAAACTGAAGAAAAAGAAAAATTGAAGCGTTTCAAGGATCGGGTTGAGGCAAAACTCATTTCTCATTTTCAAGACCCAACAAATATTACACTTAAATTTGAACACATGGACCAAATATGTAGAAGTATAGTGTAAGTTCGTTTTTCAATTAATTCAAATATGGGCGTCGCCAGAAAAATTTCCAACGGTGGGGCTGGAATCTTTATTTCCATGGCATTGATCTTTATAATTCAGAAACCAACAAAAAATGCACCGCAGGTGAAATCTGTTTGATCAATGTTAAATGCCTCCAAATATTCAGAAAGTTATGTGCTGAAACATAATCACCAAAAATTATAGATACTTTTCCATATTATACAGAGACGATGAATTCGAAATACTTTTTCATCAGAATTCATAATTGATACTATTACTGATATAAGGGTGTGTGGTATTGGAAACTTGATATTGATTTATAAATTGTGTAAAACGTGAGAAATTCTCGATTTCAATTCTATCATCTAACATCTAGTTTTTCTGCAAAACGCCCATCTTTTATACCAGAATTTTCTGGAAATACCAAGATAACAAATTTCAAAATGTATAGCTAACTATGATTTTTCAATGTTTCTAGTAGGTTTTAAGGAACAAATACGTCAAAAACTTATCATACAGAATAGAGATTCTGATTTCCGTTTCCAGAAACCTTTCTGATAAACTTTTCGTCTTATCGTTGAAAATTTTCAAAAAATTCAATGTTCATAGTTGGCCGCTGAAATCTATCATGACAACAAATACTGCATAAGTTCTTAGAAAAATACCTGAATACAGAAAATTTTAAATCAGAAAGTGCGCTTTTAATGTTTAGGCATGAATAAATATATTTTTTCAATACATAAGGCAGTAGCTAGGGGGGAGGCACAGCCCCCTTTCCCTGAAGTGGCGGCGCCCGTAAATTTAAAAGCAATAATTTCATTTATTTCAGTTTTATGTGGTTTTCTTTCCTCTTTTCTTCGTAGTGAGGACGACCTATATCAAAATGTTACTGTGTTGAACATTTTACTCCCAGAAACCTAAAAGAGAAATGTCCTATTGATAGTCGGTTACTCTTTATTTGATAATGAATTTTTGCAAAAACAAGAATATGTTTCCGTCATTTGAGACATAATGACACAATGAATCGTAAGAAATATTATACCATACCACACATTTCAACAATATTTGAACGTGTGACAAGATTGAAAAAGTCACTGATACTTCTGGTGCTTCTGGCTTTGAAGAAAGCAAACGCTTGGGCTCGGTTGTGAACCTCTGATCAATTATTCAAAACAGTTCCAGGAAAAATTTGAAACTCATTATCTTCCAAAAAACATTTTCTGACAAAAATGTACCTTCATTTCTTCGTTTTTGATTGATATTTCATTACTTATTCCATTCTTATTTCAGAAATACCCTGTATACATTATTACATTGGAAAGAAATCAAATTTTTTTTATCTTTGGACGTCTGGAAAGAATTCTTTCTCGCAAATGGGCATGTTTCAGTGAAAAATTTAATTTAATTATTTTGATGCCAAAAATAGACAGTTTCAGAGCTGTAGATTTATTGAATAATAATTAAAATCCACAATATCTCATAACATGGAAATCACCTGACGAAATCCAACAATCCAATGCAACCATATATACGATACCACTTATTAATCCATTGTCTATTTCTGTCTGACAAAGCAATAATATATCTGATTGTAATTTATGATTGTTCTTTTTGGCAATCTTCTAGACGGTCTTTTTGACTCTTCTAAAGAAAAAAAAACTTGATTGAAATTGAAGTCTGAAAAAAACTGATAACAATGCAGTACATTCTCAAAAACTAGTACAAAGTGTAAAATATAAATGGATACATGAATCGCAATTTCAAAAGACATCACAGTTTTAAAGAGCCATAATATACAGAAAAGACAGTCAAAAAGTATAAACAGTTGATAAAGTGTCACATGACGAGATATGAATAGAAAAGCAGGTTTATATTGAGTAACATTTATAAAAAATAACAATGAGAATCTTTTTCTGACCTTTTCCTGCTAGCATCGAACGAAGGAAATGTGGTTGGATGCAGAAATTCTGAAATTTATCGCTGGAGAACATGCATAGAATATTATGAAATATTCTAGAAAGTTCTTAATTTACAAATGATATATTCATTGATTATTTCAACAAAACATTATTGAATATTTCAGGATATTCCTATCACATATTCGGAATATCCGTAGTATATTTTTTGCTATCTGAGAATTTGACCAATGTCTCATTTTTTCAAACAAGAAATTTTTAACGCATTTTGGGACAAATCGTCTTATTTGCCCTAATTACAAATATATTGAAATACTACTCATATTTGTATTCATAGAATTGAGGAGACAAAATCACAAAAAATTGAGTAAATGAACATTCCACCTTCCGATATAGACAGTATTCATAGCTTTATTTTTTTATGCGATTTTTTCAGGCATGAAGTAGCCGAATCATGTGGCTTATTATCTTTCGCTTTTGGGATCGATGGCGTAGATAGATATATAAGAGTATACAGGAAGGAGAACCCTCCTTGTGACGATGAAATTGCAGCCAGAAGAAGAGGTGAACCGTGGAATGAAGACATTAGACAGCGTCTTATTGAAAAAGTAATTAAAGAACAAACAATTTTCATAAAGTAATGGCAGTATTATTCCTGAATACTTTGTTATTTGCAGAGAAAGCTTAATGAACAAGAAGAAATAAGAGGTCCGAAGAGGAAAGCTGAAAAATTTGTTCCGAATTCTAACTACAAAGATAAATATGCTCATCTTATAGGTCAAGACGCTGCTCTGGAAGCAGCAAAGAAAACGGAGACCAATAAATCATATGGTTTTGGTATGATTATTTTTATTACTTGTATTTGTCGTCGGTGTGAAAACAGACATAATTGCGGTTCAAGAAATGTTATATATGTATAACCGAGTGTAAAACGGTATTGCGTAGATGCATGGATGAAATACCTAGTGGTGTTATCATCAAAATCGTCCTATGCGCTCTTTTCATGAGCTGGATGTAGTGAGCTTGAATTCCCTGCAGAGCAGATAAAGTAGTAGGAGATTTTGAAATTAGACTACATATTGAAGAAGATCATGGATAAGTCCGAAACGGGTGTTCTCAGACCCATGTTATCATAGGCATATCATTGGAATGATCCAAGGATGAAGTGAAAATTCAGAGAAAATGATAGGTTTGTAAAATACGTCATCACTTTTGGCAGATTCAAAAATTCTAAATACTGCCAAAATATCAAAATGACATATAGAATTTGGTGATTCATACGGGAACTTAGCATCGAAAACTTGATTCTCATCGTTTCAATAGGGTGTTTTCAATACCAACCAAATTCGAAATTTATAAGTGAAAAGATGGAAAATCAAAACAATAAATAAAGCATCATCAAATATAATTGTGGTATCACCGAGGGTACCATAGGCTGTGAACTCCTGCTAAGAATGAAGTTTCCTCTTCCGTCTATATCAGGACCCTATCTATAGGAAAATTGAGCACATAACATTCGATTTTCAACATACAATAAGGAACTAGCTTCAAGTATTTCCTTATATCTATTTTATTGTTACCTACATTGAAAAGTTGTTACATGCATTATTTTCATTGTTATAACTTGAAACTATAAACTGTTGTTTTGCGAAAAGTGTATCGCTATAAATTGAAGTGGGTATGATTATACCCTATTTCTATTTTCGATCTACGGCTATGATTGATTTGACAAAAAATCTAACCACTAAAATCGTATCTGATAATCTGGTGCTACTAGTGAAATTGAATAGACAAAGAGCAGAGTATATGACTTATTCTTGTATTCACTCAAACCATTGTAATGTAGAAAATAAAAAAGGCAAAAGTTCAGCTGTGTCCGAACTCTCATCTAACTAATACCATCCAGTGACTCTAATTTACTCCTTTTGAAGGCGTAAAGTGCGTTTTTACTACCAAGGTAGTTTTCGTCATTTTATGAACCACTAATCAATAAAGACATAGCCACCTCTGTTATAATTAACTCGAATTCACTGTTCTGATGCGATATTGTCAGGAATCGCCCTCGAATGTAGTAGGTATTTGTTTTCATCTATAGCCACTTTCTATTTTATGCTTCATGCACCTGAGCAGCCCAGTGTGTGTTGCACTTGAGCTACTCCCAAATAGAACGCATTTTAGTGAACTTTTACAATGAACGCCCCTGCGCATGCGCTCTTATTGTTTACCTTTTGGGCGCCGTGGCCGAGCTTGTTTATGCGCTGAAATTCGCTAGATAGCGGTTCACGATGCAGAGGTACTGTCGTTTCAGATCTGGCTATCGGCTGAGCATTTTTCTTTAAAATGTGTGATTTATGGTTGTAATCCTGGCAGCACCTCGATGCCCTAGAAGTAGTTCGAATTTCACTACAAGCTGTTGGTCCCGCTCTCCCTAACCCCGCACAAGTTTCGACTTCTGGGGAGTTGGTTCCCAACTTTGAAGTAGCGATATACAAATTTTACAAAAAATTTTGAAATATCAAAATAAACCAAAGAAGGGAAGATTTGTATTTCGTGCAAAATAATTTATTCAATATTCGTAGCAGAGCGCTTTCGACTGTTAAGTCATCATCAGTGCGTACTCGTCAGGTTAACAGGAAAATTCGTCCATAAAAATATCTTTGGTCCAGTTTGAAACTAACGACATTGAGTTAAAATACATTACAAACAAATTAAAATGTTATTCCCAAAAGGGGTTCACTTCAACACGACATGTCGCAGCGACAATGGCTGCTTAACAAAATGTAATCCATATTTTACCCCCTTTTGGGAAACACATTTTAATTTGTTTGTAATGTATTTTAACTCAATGTCGTTAGTTTCAAACTGGACCAAAGATATTTTTATGGACGAATTTTCCTGTTAACCTGACGAGTACTCATTGATGATGACTTAACAGTCGAAAGCGCTCTGCTACGTATATTGAATAAATTATTTTGCACGAAATACAAATCTTCCATTCTTTGGTATATATTCACGTGCACACTGCACACTGCAACCCTCACTTATCAAAATAAAGCCAGTCTATGTTGATAATGTCTGATTCTGGAGACTAGCATATTATAATTATTGTGAGCTGAACTATCCTGATACATGAATATAGAAAATAATCTTTGAAAATAACCAAACTTAAAATAGCTTGTCAGTGACAGAGGGGAGGGGAAGGTAGATGGTGTAGCACGGTGAAGCACCGGGTCTTCAAGCACTAACAAAAAGAACACGTCCCTGCCTATTTTTCATGCTCCGGAGTAGCTCCTGTGCTACCCACATAGTCAAATAGAAAGTGGCCAATAACGACTTCTCATATGCTGTCCGGGTGACTAGATTTTAATTAGAATTGAAAAGAAGTTCGTTCATAGTGACATCCACATTTCAGATTAACAGAACTATATACCCTCCGGTTGAAGCAACGGCTTATAATTTTGGTGCCTGGGTGATAATATTCTTTACAACCTTGGTGTATAAATAACTATTAGGGTTCCTTACCTCGAAAAAATTGAATCATTATTGAGCAACAGACAACTACGATCCTGGCGAAATTAACGAGATATATTGGAATAATCAGCTGTGAACTCTCGGAACGAGTAATTAGCAGCGCCGCCATCGGTAGTTATTTATTCAAAAAAGATAACTCTTGTGTCTATCTGTCACAGACGTTTTTAACGGAAACCACAAAACGTAGAAATATGTTACTCATATTTTGTTCCATGCATACAGCTGTATCATTGTTGTTGTTGTTTGTTGTTTTGCAATTTGACAAACTTGAATGGAATGCTGATTCATAATCAAATGTTCTTCAGAAATCACGTTTTACCTTCACGTCAGATCATTTTTGCAGGGGAGCTATTTTCAAATGAATATTCGAGTGAATTTTGCATTCAAATATGTAGTATTTCCAAGTGAAATGTCAATATTTGTATTTTGACAGATAAAAATTATTAATAAAGCTTTAGTAGGACCTTACAAGAAGCCGAAATTTTTGCTTGAGGGCGCAGAGTATTGATTGACCCTTTGGAAGAATTGACCACCGACTTATTGAGTAATCTAGACCGCGAGAGTTCTGGCAAAATGTTTCAAGCCCTAGGAATGGTTTGAATGAGCCACTATTTGGTAATGTTTTCCAATTGTCGAAAATATTAATGTGCCTCCATCATTCGTCAGCTGCGGCACAGAGAATATTTTCACAGTTGAATCTCGTGAAAACCAAAGTAAGAAATAGATTATTAGTTAACACATGTAGATCATTGTTACAAGCCAAAGATTTGTTGAGGGTTGATAACAAGAATTGTTATGACTGGCATTTGCCTGAAAGTATTATAGGTTTCACCAACGAAAATGTGACATCCGTTGAAGTTTTGGATGATGATTTATTCTGAATGTTCTTATTTTGAAATAACCAGTATTATTTGTTCAGAGTTTGTTTTGCTTCTGTTTTTTTATTGAAAGGCATTTTATATCTTAATCTCTATATTCTTGTTTCTTCAGTACCCAGTATTTATTCGAAAATATTCTAACTATAGGTACTCTGAACATGGTGTGCCTATGAAATTTCGATAAATCTCAAACAAAATATGTCAAAGAAATCAACAAATTACAAATAATTCAACTTGGATTTTAAATTTCCCTCTATTATGGCCAAAACTCTCTAATAACGAATTCCATTGGTACAACTGGTACGCACTGAGTGTACACTTTCTCGTTTTACTACAAAAAGGAAGACTCAGATGAATGAAATTCGCTATAAAAGCTAGAGGTACCTACCGAAAATTATAGTCCAGTGCAAAAAAATTCATTTAGTACCCTAACGTCAAATCTAGTACCATATAATAGCACTTTTAGTACCGCTGACAACTGAGCTCCGGACAACGCTGAGGTGAGCCGGTCTGGGGATCGAACTGGTGAGAGTGGTGAGACTGGTTCATGCGCATTTAGAATCTGTCATGCTACACAAATGAATCCGAGGAACATAGGCGTATCGAAGGAAGAAGGTTGGGAGGGAAGGTTGATAAACCATTCATAAAGTAGTGAGAAAAAAATGAAATATGCCGTATTCAGGTCTCATAGCTTCCAAATAATCAGATTTGAGAAGTTTATTTCAAAAACGGCAAATTTGCATGTGGCTCCAATGTCCTGCATTTGCCTGGAAGCATCAGGAAGATGTCTGCTGGCGTAAAATGGTCTGAACATAATTATCCTTCCTGAATGGCTAAGGTCCGATGGTCTCCTAATAGCCTCAAGCCATTCATTTCTCTTATTCCCAAGAATTCTAGGATCATTATTGAATGAGTAAACTTTGAATTCAAAATCGTCTGAAATAGATGAGCAGGTATGGCACCTCACGCCTAAACTCAAATTCTTCATAGCTGAATGAATATACAAAACATGCATGTTTTCATTTGATGTAAACACTTGCTCAGCTGATGTAAGCAAATTGAAATAATAAATTATTCACTACCCACAAACTCACCGATGAAAAGAAACACTCATCCACTCAATTCCGATTTTATTTTCATTGAACCGGCCCCTGATGACAAACACAACACTTAGGTAAGCCAAAGCCATAGACTTTGCCGCCGCCTATGAACAAAATGGTTGCTAGGTTGATTTTAATACCATGTAAAAGTCAAGAACGACAGCTTGGAGGTTCTTGTTTATTGAGCAGAAGGGTTGCTGCGATATGACTACTAACAGTCTAGATAGAATAATCAGTTGGTGGAATTGAATGAGTTTGTAAAGCTTTACCGCTTCGCTAGGCCATTATTTTATGAAGTAGTAAAGTTGGTTGAGCCACATAGAGAGGCGCTAATTATAACATCTGGCTAAAATGTTCGGTAAAAAATTACCGGCGAAAAGAATGTAAGCCCAGAGCACAATATCAATATTGCGATCACAAACTCACCGTCAAACCATCTGAGTCGATCCATCTTGCAGTGGAGTGAAGATGATAGGGCAATAAGAAAATCTTACAGTCAACTCCACCAAAACTATCCGCATGAGTTACGTCCAATATTGAAACAATGAACTTCATTCTTTTTATAAACACATCTTATATTGATAACAGTCATACAGGATTTTCGGTTCACCGACGTATATCTGGATGAAGGTGGTAGGGAATGTGATTTCGAACATATATGGCTAAGAAATATTATTGGAAAACCATCTAGTCAAGTGAATACGCATCTATCCATGGGTATCTAATAGAGAGAAAGGGACGTAAGCGACGTTGCCATTATGCCATTATTCATATTTAGCTCGTGTGGCAAACATGCGACTAAGCGTACGCGGTACGTAGGTTGAAGGCGAGGTTTGGTAGTGTTGCTTCATTTTTCATTCCATCAGATACTTGTGATCCTCTATGCGTATTCACTTCAATAGATGGCTGCTCCATGAGAAGATTTCTTTTGCCACACGTGTATACTATTATACGCAGTGTTACACTATACATTCTAACGAGTCAGAACATATTTTTATATCATTTATAACCTACTATGTGTTCGATATCGATGAAACACATGTTCAACTTTTTAAGAAAAATAAGATACACTCAGATAAAATGTTTGAAAAACCATATTTCGAAATTTGTGACACTGTATAATAAGTATATAATATGGTTAAATATGTCCGAAATGTTCTCACCTATCACTCCCTTTCATATATACGTCGTTGAACCAAACACCCGGTATAATTGAAATCCTCAGGGAGCGTATCGACTCCTCCTCCCGGCGCCCATGTTTCGAAGTTACGAATCCTTATGATTTGTTTTGAGAAGTAGTAATTTCGAAATAATCACTTCATAATGTGCCATGAGGGTTTCACACTTTGAAGTTATCATCTAGCTAGAGAATGAAAAAATAATTACGTTATTATTACTGAATATAGGTAGGTAATAGTTATTTGAGCTGTACTTGTTTTTTGGTTGATTATTCAATAACACGCATATTTAGAACGTTATTATTTCAAATCATACGTGGCAATACATGCTCATGTGGGGCTGGACTCTCAACATATTATTAGGCGTTTTCGGAAACCTACTCGGGTTGACTCGATCCCTAACCTGCACGTTCGTTTACCTAACCCGAGTAACATACCCATGTTCGGAAACTCCGGTGTTACTTACTCGATCACTAACTCGGGTTCATGTTTCGCAACCCTGCTCCAAAGCAGGGTCAGCCAGAGTTACTACCTTAGATCTTAGATCATACACTTACTACCACAGAGCTACTCACGATACATGTATTTCTAAGGTCACTTCAGATATTATTTGATTTCATCAATTGAACAAGAAGTGAATTATGTTGAATAGCATTAGTTTGATGATGAAAATACACCAACATCATGAGCAGAAGCAATATTCATCATTTCTAGAACAATAACAACGTGTATCTTTAAGAGTTTAGTGGTATGTTTGTAAAGATATGGAGAAATTGGTCCGAAAATGTTGATATCGTATAGCAAACTGAAAAAATTGCATACAGCTGTAAGAAATCAAGAAGTTCTATTCGAAGAGGTATAAAGCTAACTCAATAAAGTAGTAACCTGATAAGTTCGTAAACTATAGTATTAGGATAAGTGATCCGACTGATCCATCACGTGACCCGTTCAGATCGAGTCAACAACCCAGAGTAAGTTTCCGAAAACGCCTATTGTTGCAACATGAACAGAATATTGCAATCAACTCAATGCGGAGCTAGACCATGGTTAAAAAAGTTTGAGAAACAGCAAAATATTCAGATGTTCTGAAATTAAAAGAGCGATATTATTTTTACAGTTCCTAGTGAGAATAAAAAAGATGTGAGGTCCATTGAACAGACCATGGCTGATATAAGAGCGAAGAAACGACAAAAAAATGATACAGAAACAAGCGAAGTTCCACCTGATGTTCCTCCACACTGAGTACAAGGACATGGCATCATTGTAGTATTTCTGATGTGTGATCTGCATAATATTAATTATAATCGAGATTGTTGAGTATTATTAAAATTATATTTCATACTATTTTCAATAAACATTATGTTACTGAGATGAAAATCTTGTCTTGGGTACTTTATTGATTCCTGCTATTCATGTACTTACCTGCATCACTTACCTACGTCATTCTGGTGTGGTGTTGTGAGGTTGTCAATGGAAACTTATTTATATTATGGCGATATAATTTGGAGCCTCTGAACAAGATTATAGCATTTTTTTGTTTCCTATCCTATTAAAGTTCCTTATAAATATATAATATGTGATTTAAATTTCGGTGATTTCGATTACCTATTCGCAGTTCTTTTTAGAGTTTTTTCATCAGCTTATAATGGACAACATTTGATTGAAAGTACAGTCAGATGCCAAAAAACATGTCGCGGTAGGATGGTTATAGCGCTCTTATTATTGCAGAAGTGACTATCATGCCCAAGTGCGTCGTGTTCATTGCATCTGACTGCACACATATTTCTTATTCCTATAGGATATACTACTCCATAAATACGTACTGTATGTAGGTTGATCAAGGAGATTGTAGCAGAATGCTAATTATGTATTATATACACTAAGAACTTGAGGCCGTGTGGGCCGTTTCCTATATAGGTGTTGGGAAATCAATAATTCATTTGTTGATGGATCAAAATATTCTTATTCACAATATTTCATACTTGAATTTCCTTTGCTGAAGGCATTCTAGTGAAGCAGGGTTAGTTCATCGAGATAAACTCCCTACCTGCTTTCAGGTGAGTGATGTGAGTCTTCGAATTTATATTATATTCAGCAAACTAATGTTTCAGAATTGTGAATGTTCTTGTAAGAAATATAAGAAGAATAACTAGTTGGAATAGACTTTTTATTGACGCCCCTGAGATCATTTTTTATATTACCTATTCCACTACGTTACAAGGTAGTATATTCATTATTCCTGAGTTTTTGAAATTTTCTCGTTTCTATAAAATGAAAATATAAGGTATTTTAATATCTGTGTAGTGGGGACAAATCAGATGATTTGCCCAAACATTTTACTGCGTTGAAAAAAAAATTTCATTAGAGAGCCTAGAAGAAAAATTGATTTGCTTGTCAGTGAACACTGTTTTGAAAGATATTTGAAGAAGAGAAATACAGGTATATAGAAAAAATATCAAATTCTCACTTATCATTGGACGTTTCGGGAACGAATCTGCTCCTGTTTACTGTAGTTTGCAAACAAGGTTTGTCCCACTTTGTCGATGAGAATTTATTCTTGGACATTGAAGTTTATATCTACCTACCTAATAATAAGGGACGCAGTAGCTACAAGGTCAAATTGTGCGAATATGAGATAAGTATAACATCTCAGAAAAACCCAGAGGTAGGTCCTTCTGAAATTTGTTTTTATCTTCATCTTCCGGTTCTCCTGGAAAATTATGGAAATAACATCATTTTTCGATTTTCAAATGGCATATTTTGTTCCATAATCAGGGATTATTATAACGAATTCAATGATACCAGGTTTGATAGAATTATTTCCAATGAATGCCGTTATTTCCTGTTGTTTTAGGATCTTTGTCAAGATGGAAAGGCTTTTTAGAAAATTTTATTCAAATATAAAGTTCATGTACGAAAAATGACAATTCATGAAATTAACTGATGACATCAACTGACATCTGTTCTCTTCGCCGCCTCTTTCATAATACAGGAATTACAGGATGATTACGTCCATTTTACAACATTCGTCCATCCTGAGTAGGGCTGGGAAAAAATATCGATATATCGAATAATGATATTTAAGTTTTTAAATATCGATATATCGATAGATATCGATAAATATCGATATATCGATAAATATCGATATATCGATATTTTTTCCTAGCCCTATATAGTTCCGAATCTCCAATAGGTCAATATATCGAAATGCTTTTTATTATATTATGCAAGATGTGAAATTTCGATTATCTTCAATTTAATATATATTATAGCTTCCCCTCGTATATCTGCAAATTTGAAAATGTTACAGGCGATATTCTAACATTTCTAACTATAAGGAATTCACTGTAATACGATATAGAATGTATTCTAGGAAAGGGATTTACATGGGAGGAGTAGCAACTTAATTCATCAACCAGTATATGTTTCTTCAAAAAACACAGTTTTGTTAGTTTGGACTAGAGTTCCTCAATGTATCTGAGTCAGATACATTCAGGAACTCTAGTTTGGGCCAACTTCACTGAGACAGGGCTCGTATAATGAAAAGTGTTTTTGATCCTTATCCTCTATCTCAAAATTTTGAATTGATTTGATGTATCAAACAATTCATTATGTTTTCTTCTACATAATTCGAAGTGGCCGAACTTCAAATTACTGAGATTCAGCAAAAACAAACCGCATATACTATTCGCATTACGTTTCTAATGAGTATGTATATGTCAATAAGTCTATATGATTGCAAGATATTTTTTAAACTACATATATCGATAAATATCGATATATCGATAAATATCGATATATCGAACTTATCGATAAATTTCAACTTATCGATAACCGATAACTGAAATCCAATATCGCGCAGCCCTAATCCTGAGCATTATGTTTGTCCTCAAACATTGTCGTCGAATCTTCTAGGTTTTCGAACTATTCGTTTTGTTCTAGTATTCTGACGAATATTATCATCGATTCCCAATGTGTTATTCATATTTTCATCAGAATCGGGTTTCCATTCTTCGTCACTGTCGTCACTATCTTCATCGCGTTCTTCTCTATGCTCTGCTATATCAACTATCTCAAAATCGACTTCTTCATCATCTCCTGAATCATCGTTTCCAGAATCATCACTCTCTCCTGAATTTCTATATATTTTCATTTGAGAAACATGAGCTACCGTAGTGACATTTGATCCTCCGTCTTCCTTATTCAATTTCTCCAATTTGTATGTGTTACCAGGAAGTATTTCGATCACAACAAATGGTCCACGATATTTGAGTTGAGTTTTCGTAGGTTGTCCAGTACTAACATGTGGTTTACGTACTGCTATATCACCTATATCGAACTTCACTCCTTCATATCGTCGTCTATCATAATACATCTTGTATTTCTTCTGATTTCTTCCTGTATTTTCTTTCACTTTATTCCTGATTTCTTCATGTCTTGCTTCTTCAAGTTGTCGTTCAGCAAAATTTACCAATCCTGCGTCTTCAAAATTTGGTTGAAACCCGTACAGACATTCAAAAGGTGTGACTCCTGTAGTTTTATTCACAGCACCGTTCAATTTTCTTTCCACTGAACTAAGAGTTTTGTCCCATCTCTCATCTTCAAAATTTATCGAGGTGACAATACATGGTACAATCGATTTCATTCTATTTTCAGCCATTCCATTTGCCTGTGGAAACTGTGCAGCAATAAGTTTGCCCCATACTGATCTATGAAAAACTCCATATGCCTAATTGTTTCTTCTGATTTCGTACTTCTCAGAGCAAAAAGTTTGACGAATCTTGAGAATGCACAAACGATCACAAGTACATACATTTTCCCTGTAGTACTTCTGGGAAAAGGTCCAAGATGATCAACATGGATTTTGATCATTGGCCTTTTAGGAATTTTTGGCGGATGTAGCATGCCTGCCTTCCTTCCTCCAGGAACTTTCGCAAACAAACATTCGAAACATCCCTGAATATGTTTTTCCACATATCTCCGCATTCCTTTGAACCAGAATTTCCTTAAAATGGCTGATACCGTACGATCTAATGCCCAATGCCCCATTAAATCGTGGTATTTCACGACCGTTGCCATTCTCATAGAATCTGGAATCACATAAAGCCATTCATTTTCTCCGTTAATCTTCACTTCCTTGTATAATCTTCCATTTTCTATTGCATAATTCTTTATCATGTTCTTTTCCTCATTATTCTTGTCTTCTTTCTGTAAGATTCCGACAATCTGTTTCAATTTTTCATCATTCTTCTGAATCATTAAAACTCTGTATTCTTCATTTATGATCATGAACATATTTATCCTATTTTCATAAACTTCCTCAATCATACCTTGTTTCGCCGGTTCTTCTACTGGAGCCCGACTCAAACTATCTACATGAGCCATTTTATCACCAGCTCTGTGTCTGATTTCAAAATCATATTCGGCTAAAGTAGTATACCATCTAGCAATCTGTGGAAGAATAGTCGTTTCGCATTCAAATAGACTAAAGCTTGACAATCGCTTACAACAGTAAACTTCAATCCTAACAGCAATGGTCTCAGCCTCTCAGCACACCAGACTATCGCCAATAACTCCAATTTTGAAGAAAGATACATTCTCTCCACATCCCAGTTAACCACACATGTCTCAGCTCTATCACAAGAGAGATCAGTCAAAGAACTTTGTTTCATCACACCGTTCTGAAACATATGCAACTTGCATCTAAAATATAACATGCTACTGCTACAAATCAGTGTTTCATCACACGTTCTATCAATGTGATAAAATTGAGACACCCTAGGCGTCATCACACAAGAGATCAATCGAAGAACTTTGTTTCATCACACGTTCTATCAACGTGATAAAATTGAGGCATCCCAGGCGTCATCACAAAGCAGATCAATTAAAGAACTTTGTTACATCACACGTTCTATCAACGTGATAAAATTGAGGCATCTCAGGCGTCATCACAAAGGAGATCAATTAAAGAACTTTGTTTCATCACACGTTCTATCAACGTGATAAAATTGAGGCATCCAGGGCGTCATCACAAAGCAGATCAATTAAAGAACTTTGTTTCATCACACGTTTTATTAACGTGATAAAATTGAGGCATCCCAGGCGTCATCACAAAGCAGATCAATTGAAGAACTTTGTTTCATCACACGTACTATCAACGTGATAAAATTTAGGCATCTCAGGCGTCATCACAAAGAAGATCAACCAAAGAACTTTGTTTCATCACACGTTCTATCAACGATCAACGTAATAAAATTGAGGCATCCCAGGCGTCATCACAATATAGATCAATTAAAGAAATTTGTGGCATCATATTCCACAACGTTCTGAAATTGAACTGATGCAAATTGCATCCAAAATATAATTCTTGCTTGT